GAAGTAGATCATATCAACTACTATTTGAATGCTTATTACGGCCTTAGATCAGTGATAATTCGGAATCAGAGGGAACTAATAAATGGGATGTATATTCAAGTCTGCAATTATTTCCAGTAAATTTTTGGGAGGCAATTTTAAGACTCATATCAAATAACATTGCCATAAATTGCATAATATAACTTCGAGAAGGATTAAATTAAAAACAAATATATATCGGAGCAATATGGAATATGGGAAACGAGTTTCACTAAATATCGTATTTGCCTCCAGGATAAATTTGGCTGAATGGCAAAAATCCATCCAATTTAGCTTGCAAAATAACCAAATCGGATGAAGGTAAATATGGAAGCTTTATCCGAATCTGAGCCGATATCGATTTAATTTGGAAAAGCTATTTCTGAACTGTATCTGATATCTCCTGCCAAATATCATTGTTGTGAAGTGCATAATACGAATTTGAAGGATGGATTTTTGGAGAATTTCATCTAAATCCGACCACTTTCCTCTCAAAAATACATGGACAGACGGACGGATATGACTCAGAATTTGATACTTAAGGATTTTCTTCAAATTAGCTATAATCCTATCTCGTTCCCTTCTGCACTTTACCAACTTTAATGTCTTTAAAAATATTTAAATTTCAAAAAACTTTGTTTAAGTCTCCCCCCTGCACCTCCTATTTCCAATCTTAGTCATATACTCCTATTTTTTCTGTGGAAACTTAAAATGTCAGCAATTAATTTCATTTTAATTATATTTGCTCATGTTTACAATATCAATGAGATAGGGCCGGGTCGGCAACACCCATAAACTGCTGCTGCTGCTAGTACTACAACGAAACAATGGTTGGGACTTGTAGTAGACAAATCAAGAATCTAACAATTGGACTTAGCAGCAGGACAACAGACCATAGGTTATATATACACACACTACCGTACGCAATCCATTGTAAAATCCTTAAGGGCCAAACTGCCAATAATATGTAATATGAATGTTATATATACGTATGTATATTGAAATCCCAAAACTATACAAATGAGAGTATATTTCTCTGTATCTATCTATGTATGTGTATTGAGATATCAAAAGGAAAATTTATGGTTTGAAAAACAAATACAAATAAAACACGCCCTACGATTTGTTAAAACTACGTAAGACAAATCTACAAATGCATTATATTGAATTGAATGTGTGTGTGTGTGTGTGTGTGTGCGTGAGAGAGTGAGTGCCTGTGTGTGTGCAATAATGGTATGCCAAAATGCATTCGTAGAGCGAGACCCAAAGAAGAATTTTCGTTATCCAAGAAGGGGCTGTTAGCTACTAGTCTAGCAAAAATGACAATAACATAAAACTGCAATTCAAATTGTAGGTAGTTACACACACATTTTGATATATTCACATATGTATATATGTGTGTGTCGATTTTTCTACAATACAAAAAATAATCAATATTGTAAGGATATGTGAATGTATGTCCTTATATGCATATTTGCCTAACAACAATACATAAAATATTCTATTGGCAGTTTTGTGTTTCTTCCCATTGCATTTCTTGCCATTTTCCTATCTGTCGAAGTTGTCATTTGTTGCGTGAAATTTACCGTTTTCTTATGCAAAATCATGCCTGTATGTATGCGTGTGTGTGCATATTCTTAACATGTACTTTTCGGACTAACGAGGACATTTCTGGTCAGGTTGCTTGCTGGCTCACCAGGCCAGTGCCAGCTAGAGAGCTTGGTATTGGAGAATTTTCTATTATTGAAAATTTCTTTCTACAATGGATTTTTCGATTTGTGGGCAGAACCAAAAAGACATGGTTACACACACACACATTGATGTACATATATACATATTGATATATACAAAAAAAAAAAACAAACTACAATACAAATAATGTTTTGTGAAATTTTCAATTTTCAACACAGCAAAATCCTTGCTGGCTATTATAATGCATACATATATGGCATGTCGTGTTGTTGTTGTTGCTCTTGTTTTCTGATAATGCATTTTCTTGTTATCCTTGCTAAATCTTGTCCATACATTTACATATATATAAAAAATATTGTATAGAGAATATATGCAATATCTTTCCAATATTGACGTCTTTTGTTTGTTTGTTGGCATTTACTGCTCCACCTTTTATATGTCCCTCTGTCGCAAGTTTACTTAGGATGTGGCCAAGGTGTCCATCACTTTTTGCCGAGCGAAACACTCCCTCTATTTACATATTTTGCAAAAAAAAAAAAACCCTTAGATTGCAAAATATAGAAAAAAATCTCAATGAAGTTCAGAATTTATTTTCAGTTTTTTTCTTTTTTTGAAAAATAAAATCATCCTTTAATTTATTTCATCTGCCGGAAATAGTGGCTCGTGCTTGTTTTCACTTTTTTTTTGTGGGAAATCAATTGTTTAGGGGTTTTCTCGTATTTTGAGGAACGAATGAGTGCCAAAAAGGGGTTTGCCGATTTCAATGGTAATTAAATACTACTTCCTTTGTATTTTAAATTTTTATTTTTTGGATAAGAAAAGGAGTCTGTTTTAGTTCTCTTTAGGCCACCAAAAAAAAAAAATATATATTATTTAGAGGGGGAATGTCAATCAAAAAACAGTCATTGTGTGGGAGCGTTGAGACAGCTGACAGGAAGCCAGGCAAACATTGAAAATAAATAATTAAATAGTTTTAATTTTTTTCGAATCGAAAAAGTCCAATATTTTCAGACAGGGAGACGAAGAAGGTGAAACCAAATATACCAATATTCCCTTTTGATGATCTCCATAGAATCACTTTCTGAGTCGAATTATACATGCCTTCCGCCTGTTCATGTATTTTTGAAAATAAAATACAGGACGCATTTGTTGTCCGATTGAGACGAAATTTTTCACAAAACATTTGTTTGGGCTGAAGACGAACCCTATAGAAATTAGTGAGGATCGATGCAAATTGAGATATATGTCTCATATATGTATCTTCGTCCGATTCCAATTTTATTGGGCGCCATATGTGTAATATTCTTCCAAAAGGGATGATTACGGCACATCCGACCGAAATCAGCCTAGAAGCAAGTACGTCACGATTGGTGAAAATCGGTTGAGATATAGCTATAGCTTCCATAGATAGCTTCATAGCTCTTCCATAGATAGCTTCATGGTTATTGTGCATCAAATCGTTAATTTCAGCCGAAATTAAGTGAATTTTTGCTCATTTAACCGAATTTATCGTGGAGGAATATACGACATATGGTGAATCGCATATCCCGAAAATCTATTTCACCGGTACAAATACATTTTTTTTTTTAGGTTAAAAGTCGGGCCCGACTTTATGACGTATTTTTAGTACCAGCCAGACTTGCCGTTTTTTTAATTCAAATTCGAGAAGGAAATTAAATTTACAAATTTAAATCCTTTTGAGCATTTAAAGTTTGAAAAATTTATTTCAATTTTGGAAAGAAATTCCATTTTTTTGAAAATCATTTTATGTCACCCTTGTCCCTCGGAGTTTTCTAATCTTAACACCTTGTTTTATGATTAATCACTAGACAAACACTGGCTACTGTATTTCATTTCTCCGGGTGAAGAAAAAAAAAAACCCACTCTTCATTCAATCCAAATGCCTCAGCATGAAGCGAAGGAAGGAGAAAATATCAAAATCAATAAAAACAAGATTAGAAATATTTTCATAAGCGCCAGGCATTATATTTACATTACATTCCAGAAAAAGAGAAAAAAATGTTACAAATGCAAGATTACAAGCAATGATTAGATTGGGGCAAACATTCCCTCTTTCCCATTTCCCCTGGTAACCATTGTAAGCCATACAGCTAATCAATGTTTGTTTAACGCCACAAATTGAAGAAATTTTCTTTAACCAAAAAAAAAAAAAAAAAAAAAAAAAAAATTATATAAATATGAAATTCCTAAAGTGATTGACTGAGAGGTATTTTTACCCCCACCCTCTTCAGCACAACTCTCCCTAGACACACGCACACACATTTCTCTGAGTGCTGCCATGCGATATGGTGCAATGATATTGCATTTCAAGTACTACTCCCGATCGATATGTAAGCGATCATGGCTGAAATGTTGGTTTTTCGTTTTTTTTCGGTACGGTACGGTGCGGTGCGGTTTGGTGATGATTGTAAATAGATTTGTTTAGAATTAATGTTATGATTTTGATATGGAACGCATACAATGCGTTATGAAAGGCCACAGAAAACGCCACAACAACAACAAAAAAAATGAATCGTAGTAATAACAACAATTATTGTTTACACACTGACGCCACTGTGGCGGCATGTAGACATGGATTTCGACAGTACTCCAGGCAAAATCAACAAAACCAAAAAAAAAAAAAACTAAATTTATGAGGGAGGTGGTGATGGTGGCGGCCCGTCCCCCTAACCCCACAATATGTGCAATATGCAGTTAAGTTTTCCTGCCGTTATAATGAGCCACCAAAAAAAAAATTATTTCCCAGCTAAAACACAAATGCCGAATATTCACACACATACCGAATAACAGAAAAAATTAGGACATTTTAAGTACTTTCAAAATAATGAAATAAACATATCCCATTTCTCCCCCTACACACACCAAAAAAGAAATTAGATAATAAAATGTATTAGATTACAAAAGTTAAGTGGTCATCGTCAGGAAAAAAAATAAAAAAAACAAATGGCGTTTTTGGGGGTTTTTCCCGATAATCATCATCAGATACAAACGAGCACTATTTTGTGTTAATTTTTATTTAATTTATATGGTAGGCCATTGTTTTAATAGAAATATCTTTTCGACAAGATAAACTTTCTCAACTGTCATATTGCCAAGTTCAAATGATTGATGAGGTTTGGTTTGTTTTTTTTTTTCGTTGTTTCAAAACAGGTGATCCACAATATAAATAAATATTCGATTATTCTTTTTTATCTATAAACCAATAAAAATGTCATACTAATTGTTATTGTTTACTCATTTTTTTCTACCCCATCTCTGTTTATTTTTAGCATCCCTACCCCTCCGAAGATCAGAAAAAACAATTGGCACAAGATACCGGCCTGACGATATTGCAAGTTAATAATTGGTAAGTTGGAAAAAGAAAACATATTATTATAAAAAAAAGTGTAAAGAAAAGTAAAAAAAAATGACCTGGAGAGGGCTTCAGCAAATGTGACACTCATAAGTTCTAGGTTAAATTGGATTCTAGGTTAACTGGATTGCTCTAACGATAGCCACTTGTGGTTTTCCAGCCGAATATAAAGAAATCACACTATCACGCTTGAATTCCATAACGAATAACTTTTGTGCTGGAAAAATCTCACCAAAATGCTTCTGTACGCTTGTAAACAATATAATGTGCTGTCACTGGAATAGTTTTAACAGCTGTCGGATGATCGGCTTAGAAATGACAGCAGTCTGAAATTGGTTGCAGTTTTTTCAATTCCCCATAATTTTTCTAAAACTAAAAATAAATAAAAGATAAAAATCGGAAAAATATATATATTTTTTTCAAATTTTTATTTTTAAATAATTTTTATATTTTTATTATTTAAAAAATACAAAAATTAATTAAAAATAAAAAAAGTAAAAAAAAATAATTTTTCCAATTTTTTATTCATTTTGAAAAAGTTCAACATTTCCAACCATGTCTTGGCAAAATTATGTTGGGTACAACCCCCTCTCCTCCCCCTTAATTTCTTACTTATTTGCCCCCGAACCAACAACAACAAGCAATCTTAGTACATTAACCTCAATTTGTAGCCAACAATAATAAGGTTGTGTTGCCTGCCGCTGATCTCGTTTTTTTTTCTCCATTTGTTCCATCAAATGTTTGCTGCTGCTGTTGGTAAGATTCCAGCCAAGACCAAACTGCAAAACTGACAACAACAACAAAATGCAATAGTTACTACAAATAAGTGTTGTTTGTTTGCCAAGAAATTGTTTAGCTTTGCAAAAGCCAGAAAAAAACATTACCTACCTAAAAGCAAAGCACAAGGCAATCCACAAGAAAAAACGCTAATAACAGCAACCCAAAAAAAAATATAAATTTTGTATTAAACATCAATAGCAAGAATAGCAACAACAAAAACGCTTGAAACTACCATGATTCTGTGGTCACAAAATATAACAAAAAAAAACCATAACAGACCCAGCCAAGAATAAAGGCCGAACAAAAAAACAACAACTGAAATCAGGTTGTTTTTCTCAATGCACCGGCAATATTTTGTTAAGTCAGTGATGTTGTTGTTATTGGTGCTGCCAATGCCTAGGTCTGTCCACATTATGATTTTGTCAACCAGCAGCAACCCGTCATCAACATTTTCTTTCTCATGACTTAGAGAGAGAGAGAGATGCCGCCTTGATTTGGTGCAGTGTTTTTTAGGTTCTTGGCCAGCAAAATGTAAAAGGCAAACCGAGAGCACCAATCTTTATATAAATATATAACAACAATATATAAGTATTATATATACAATTGTCGGCATTTTAGACTTTTATCACAAATGCAATGAGTGAGCTTAAAGAAGACCAAGTTTAAAAAGACAAAAAAAAAACAACACGCTTATTATTTTTTATGGTTCTTTCTGGTTCTTAAGAAGCAACCGAAACCAAACGTTCATACAACCAACCAACACCAATGACATTTGCCGGAACCTGCAAACACACTCTTTGCACAAAAAAATGAGATGTTATAAATCATATTATAAATTATTTATGAAATAAACATTTATGGGATTATAAGCCTAATTATGATTTGTTAAGACCAAAAGGATTGGGATTTTCAATTCTTATTTTTTTTTTTGTATTTCTTGTTATTATTTGTTTGAATTGAAAGTTTCATTGTTATTTCATATATCATTTTGTTTGTATCGTTACAGGTTCATTAATGCGAGACGAAGAATTGTCCAGCCAATGATTGATCAATCAAATCGTGCAGGTAATTATAAATATATTTCGAGATATATAAACATTATGGCGATTAAGATCAAAGCGGAATACAAAACAAGGATTATGGGGGTTTAAAGATGTCTTCTAGTGGCACAAATTGCCAATAAATCAGATTAATTGGGTGACTAAAAGCATAAGATCATTATTAATACAGCTTAAAATAATCATATTTGGCAAAAAAAAATCGAAAAAATGCAATGTTCGAATTTAGTTCGAATTTTTCGAACATTCTGAAATTCGACAAAATTGTTGTATTTAAGCAGCAGGAATGAGTAGAAGTATAATAAAGCCCAAAATTCAATCTTCGAACTATTTTCGAAAATTTCGAAATTCGAAAAATTGATTAAAAATAATAAATTTTCAACCAAAAATTCAACAAAATTATTTTATTTAAGCAAACCAAAATTCAATCTTCGAATTATGTTCGAAAATATCGAAATTAAAAAAATTGATTATAAATATTAAATTTTCAACAACAAAAATTCAACAAAATTGTTCTATTTAAGCATTATGAATGAGTAGAAGTATAATAGAGTACAAAATTCAATGTTCGAAATAAGTTCGACAATTTCGAAATTGGAAAAATTGATTACAATTAATAAGGTTTAGTCATGACTATTGTATTTAAACAGTATAGAACAGTAGAACTATGTTAGAAATTTTCGAAATTTAAAAAATTGATTGAGAATAATAAAATTTTGTCATAATTGCAGTTGCAATGTAAATGCAGCGGTGATAAACTGATATAGGCATTGTTTTTAAAATAAAAAGTAATTATACACTTTTCGAACTTCAAAATTCATCAAAAAAAAGTTCTCAAAAAATAAACAAAAAATAGTATTTTCGGTTCTATAAAATCAAAAATATTCCACAAAACATAAAAAATTAAATTTCGAAATAAAAAACAGTAAAAATCAATGTTCGAATTTAGTTCGCATCTCCAAAATGCTTAAATATTGATATTTTAGTGGTATGTAAAAATTAAAAAGTCTGTAAACTCGAAAATTCAGTCTTCGAATAGAGTTCGAAAATTTCGAAATTGCCGAAAATAATATTTCCCGCCTAAAAAACACCTAAAAATTAAATTTTCCATTTAAAAATATGTAAAATTCAACGTTCGAAGTTTGTTCGAAAATTTTCGAACATCTCCAAAATATCTAAATATTAATATTTCAGTGGTATACAAAAATTAACAATTGTGTAATCTCAAAAATTCAGTTATCGAATTGAGTTTGAAAATTTCCAAATTCTAAAATTTCACTAAAAATAGTTTTGGTTAGTTATAAGAAACCCAAAATATATTTTAATAAAATTTAATATTTCTTAGAAGCAAAAAATTTTCAATTTTGAATCAGTTCGAAAGATTCGAAGTATTAACAAAATTTGTTCGATTTTAATTTTTTTTTTGGATTTTTTATTTTATTAATTTTTAATTTATTTTTTTCCTTTTTCTATTTCCAGTCTACACCCCCCATGCTGGTCCCTCCGGTTATGGTCACGATCCCATGGGCTACATGATGGACAGTCAGGCCCATATGATGCATCGTCCACCAGGTGATCCTGGTTTCCATCAGGCCTATCCCCATTATCCACATGCTGAATACTATGGTCAACATTTGTAATCAACTTTAGCCCAATAAATCTCATCATTATTTATATAGTTAAACAAACCATAAAAAACCGAAACAGAAAGGATAAGGCAGAATTTAAAAGTAAAGCTCCTACAATGACTACTACTCCAACTTCTCCCCCCTGAACCTTACAACAAAAACAAACAAACAAAGAAAGTGCAACAAAAAAAAAACAAAGACAGGATTGGAATGCCAATACCTTGCTCTCACACACCCACCAAAGTCAAAAGTGAAAACAAATGGTGGGGAATATTTGGTGGTTGGCACATAAACAACAACAACTACTATTATATAGTTTGTTAGAAGGCGACTAAACCAAAATTATACAACAAAAAAATAGTAAAACAAGAAAAATTAATGAGAAGAAGAGAAACATCTCCCACCCCCACTCCCAGACAAATCAAATGGAAATTCTCTTTTGAAGAAAAAATACTATAAATTGAGATTGAAAGAGAACAAATGTTGACCTTAATTAAGGATATCATGGTTGACATCATAAATTTTCAAATAACAACAACAACAACAAATTACCGGATATACGTAAAAAATTACTCTAAACAGCTTTAACAATTATTGGGAATTGGACAGAAGAGAGCAAATATCTTTTAATGATGTCTTAAATAAAAACTAGATAAAGGTGAGTATTGTATGATTTTTTGTTTTTTTTTTTAAATAATTTTGAATTTAAATTTTTGTCTAAAGAAAAAATATTTTTAAACAATTTTACTAATTTTTTGGTTTGTTTTTTTTCTCTCTCTTTCCAGTATCAAAACTCTTTATTTAGACAGTCTCTTCTCTTCGAAATGAAATCAAGCCAAATCAAGGAGCGAATTTGGAGAAACTCGAAATATTTCCCATTAAAAAGAAGAAAATACCACCAATCAAATTATAATTTTGTAAAAAAAACAACCTAACCAAACAGCGAATTTAATTTTTTGAAAAAAAAAAAAAACAATTATTTTTTATGTTAAATATTTTGTTAGAAGGCAAAAACCCCACAAAAAAACTAAGTTCTTAGCAAGGTTAACCAGGATTTTAGGAGAATTTCTTTAAAGCAAAACATTTTTTTAAGAACAAATAATTAAGTTATGTATTTTCTTTAATTAAATATGATGATCTCCTTATTTAAGGGTTTACAAAAAACATAATTTTGATGACAAAACTTGAAAAATGGGAGAATTACAACAGAACAGCAAGAACAACCCTACTTAAAGAATTTTAAATCCAAAAAAACATGTGGAAAAAAAATCACAGATATGAAAAAAAAAAACATTTAGTTATAAACAAAAGAAAATGGAGTAAGAAAAAAATTATAAAAAACTTAAATTAAAAACAAAACAAAATTATTGAATAAGTAAACTAAATAAACAAAGAGAGGAAGAAAGAGTTAAGAGAACACACACACACATATGTATACATAATTTAATAAATTAATTATTAAAAATACAAGAAAAGCAAAGAAATAAACATTTTTAGTAAAAATCTTAAAACAAACAAACACTTTTCCTCTGCAAGAAAATTTAAGAAAAAAATTCTCCCTTAACCCCCCAAAAATGAAAAATATCCCCCCCACACTAAAACACAATGTATACCATTTGTAAATGTAAAAAGTTTTTAATTATTAATATTATAAAAACAAAACAAAAAAAATAAAATAAAATAATTACTTATTAGTTTATGCAAATAAATAAGGAAAGTATAAAACAAATCTTTAAAAAATTAAATAATTTTGGCAAGAAAAAAAAAATACAGGACAGGCTCGATTTGGGGGGTTTTAAATTAAAAAAAAATTAAGGTTTTCAAGGCTTCTTTTAACAAAAAAATAAATTTTTGGAATGTTTTAAAATATTTTTTTTAAGTAAAAAATGCATCCCCCGAATCAAATCATGTCCTGTATCACGACCTTTAGAAGATTTCTTTGGAAAATCGTACGTTTTTTCATAGTTTTTCTTCAAAGAGCAGCAGCCCGACTTTGTATTTTCACAAAGTCCGAATTGCAATTGAGTTTTTTTCTTAAAAATTTGTATTTAAATTTCCTTATATTTGTCTATTGTACATTATCTTAGATTTCCTGATAATTAAGAGAGAAAAAAAATTGATTTAAACAAAAAAATAACTATATATTATACACATAAACAAAAAATGCTTTATAATTTTATTCACACATCCACACATACATACACAAACACTACTATACATTTTAGTTATTAAAATTAAAACAAAAGTTAAAAAAAAAAACAAATAATAATATTTAAGAAAACAACAATTTCAAAATTTAAAAAGATTATATATAAATATAACTTCAGTTGTTTTTTGTTTCATATTTTATTTTTTTTTTTTTAAATTTTCCTTCTCTCCCTTTTGGAAAAATTCCCAATTTTTTTCAATTGTTTATGTAAAGCTAGCAAGTATTATATAAATATTTTTTTCTCCTTCAAAGCGTTTTTTGTTTTTCTTTTTTTAATTTCCTTATTGCCCCTTCCTGTAATTGTTTTCAAATTTTAAAACCTAATAATTTTTATTATTATCTCTTACCATTAAAAAAACAAATATTAATTATAATAATTAAAGTAGTTATAGATGATGAAAAAAATGAAAAAACAACAATGATAACTGCGCGCAGCTGCATATAATTTTAATTTAATTTAAATGGAAAAAATTACAGCTTGTATTTTATTTTAAAAATATTATTTTTTAATTTTAATTATTATTATTATTTTTAATTATATGAATGGATTATTATTATTATTATTTTGAATGATTGTGAAATGACGCTGAGAGAGTTGAAGAAAAAAATATTGATTTATAAAACAACAAAAACCTATAAAACAATAATTATTTGCAAAAATACAAGAAAAAAATGAATTTGGTGTTTTTATTTATTTATGCTTTTCCTTGGTTGGATTTTGTAGGTTGCTTATTTGGTTTTCTATTTAATTTTTTTCACTATTGCGTTTTTGGATTTAGTTTCATTTTTAAGATATTTTCCAGTTTTTCCTTTGGATTTTTATCGGAAATAAGACTATTTTTCTTCTAATTCACTCTATAAATTGCTCGAACTCGAGTTATTTATTTAATTGATTGGAAATATTTTTTTTTTCATTTTGAATATTCCTCTGACATTCTAATTTGAAAGCTATTGGTTCTAATTGCGGCCTTCATATGATTCTCATTGGATAATATTTGGTTCATTTAAATTCTAATTGGAATTAGGGTGGATCTCATTACAAAGAATTGATTTTTACGGTTGGGACATTGTTGGTAATCGGAATATTGAAAAACATAAACAATTTGGAAGTTTGGAGCTTAAAAAGTATTCCATCAAACCTTTAAACAAAATTCGGAGTCGAACAAAATTCCATACCGGGTTGCAGGCGTTTTTACATAATATTGTTATGAGCACTAATTGGAAAAAAGTAGGTACTCGATTTGACAGACTTGACAGGAAAAGCCAAAATTCTAATTGGAATATGGATTAAAGATGATTTAGTCGAAATGTTTATTGACAAGACCTCAGATTGTTTTGTAGTTTAATCGGCAGAAGAAATACATATGTTATTTAGGTTAGGAATGAACTAGTTCACCAAAACGATTCACTTAAAGGAACATCTGAACTAGACCAAAAGAAAGCGCTCATTTTAGTTCAATAACGAAATACCCACTGATAGAATACCTAGTAAGCATTACTTAAAGAGGTTTCGAAATATCTACTGACAGAAAAAATATTGAGCTTGAATAAAAAGTGAACCATGTAAATGAACAGACTAGTCTTTCAGAAAATAAAATCCTCCAGATTTCAAACAAGTGACAGAGTTTCAAATAAAGGACGAACGATTAAAGATTCGGAGTAAAAATTTCGATAGGAGCTTAGGGAAATTCCCATTAATAGATAAATGATGATGTTTTAACGATCTTAAAGAAGGAACTAGTTCATCATAAGAAGCAATATTTAAAACCCGTATTCTAAACTTACGATGAAAAGCTTGGAACATTATTGTCCGACGAGCTAACGACAAAGTCAGACAGAAGAACGGATGAAATAAAAAAAATGAAACAAGAGCTATGTTCAAAATGAGCACATATTATCAATACTACCAATTAAAGATGGAACTAGTTCCTGAAAAACCAAACTAAAATAAGTCATGTTCAAAATGTGCATCTATTTTTATTTCGTATAAAACTCGATACATTCTGGAAACATGAAATTATATTGGAAAGACAACAAAAATCTTTTTGAGTTCAGGTAATTTTTTTTATGGAACTACGGAACGAAACTGAATCCTAAAAACAAGAGAGCTTCGTCCGGAAGTTCCTTTAAGAAAATAAGTCGTTCATTTTAGATAATTTCTTTCGGAGCGAGAAAAAATTGAATTCAATTAAAACTCGTAGTGAATTTATAATGAAGGAAAAAGTTTGCCTTTAGATGGCATTGCGGTACGAAAAGTTAAACGAAAGGGCTGTATTTTGTTCTGTAAGCTCTTTTGACAGAATATACAGTTCATTTGAGCTAGTTTCCGATAAGATGTATCTCAGATTTAGATGCATAGAGAACATGCAGTGTGTCTGTAGTGAAGAAAATATTATGTTCAAAAATCCTTCTGGTATTCCCTAGCTTTAAGTAGAAAAACGAATCATAAACAAAGAAGATGGATCTAGTTCCGAAAGTTCCTTTGAAAGAATATACAGTTTATTTGAACTGGTTTGCTCCGGAACGTTACAATTCAGACTTGGATTCATCCGATCGAACAAATTTAATATGGAACACTTCACATGAAACCCCTTCAGAATGCATTCAGAGCCAAAAGTTTTTGGATAAGTACACATTTATGCCTTCGGGTACCTATTGTAGAAGAGAGTATACTTATTACTGGCATTTGTTTGTTCGCCCGCGTTCACAGGGTATAAAACGATTTAGCTGTCCGTCTGTTTTAATAACGCTAGAGTCAAAACAAATTAAGGTCGGAAGCTAAGGTTTTTGCATAGATCAGTCTTTTGTCTGCAGGCAGGTCAAATTCGAAAATGGGCTATATCGGTTCACGGTACCCCCCGATATTCGGTATTTTCGTGATTTTAGCCAAATGTTTCAATGAAATTGTCTCAATATCCACACTAGGAGTTCCTTCTTAGCACTTAATCCCCTGGAGGAGAATTTTTTAGGTCCACTACATCGTATATCCCCCATATAAAGGTACCTCGCGATATTCGGTATTTACATGATTTTAGACACATTTTTTAATGAAATTGTCTTAAAATCCACACAAGGAGTTTTTTTGGAATACTTAACCCCTTGGAAGAGAATTGTCTATATAGGTCCACGATATTGGATATCCCTCATATAACGAGTGCATCCCGACATTTAGTCTATTGATGATTGTAGCCAAGTTTTTTATCGGAATTGTTTCCAATATCGTATTTTAAGTTCGTAATGATTAGTACAGCCTATGACAAGAAATTGCGTATGCAGGTACACGTCTTCGTATAGCCCCCACATAACGATACCTCCCTATATTCGGTATTTTCATGATTTTAGCCACATTTTCCAATGGAATTTTAAGAGATTATACACAAGGAGTTCCTTCTGAGTACTTTACCTTCTGGATGGGAATTATTTATATAGTTCCACGATGTCGAATAGCCCGCTATTTTGATAGTTTTAGCGACATCTTTTTTCCAGATTTTTTTCAAATTTCGTATTTATAGTTCGTAATTGGTATTAAAGCCTAGGACAAAAAATTTGCCTATGTAGGATCATATCTTCGTATAGCCCCCATATATTTTGATGATTTTAAGAATATTATTCGCCGGTATTGTTTCAAATTTCGTATTTGAAGCTCTTAATGTGTATCACAACCTTGACAGAAAATTTTCTATTTAGGTCCACTTCTATATATAGCACCTCTCTATATTTGATATTTTGATTATATTAGCGGCATTATTCACCGGAATTGTTTCCAGTTTGATAATATTATAGAAATTTTTTACCGGAATTGTTTCAAATTTCGTATTTAAAGCTCGTAATGAGTGCTACAGCCCATGAAAAAAATTGTTTATGCAGGACTACGTTTTCGTATAGTTCCCATATAACGGTTTCCTTTAATTAGTATTTTTCGACGGATTTATTTTTTTCATTTTCAAGTTTCTTCAAAATGGGGGAGAGTATTATAAGTTCGGCTTGGTCGAACTTAGCTGATTTTTACTAGTTCATAATAGTTTCATAGGACTTGAAACAAAGCGAAAGTACTGTAAATAGGGCACATTCAAAAATAATGAGCAATTCTTTAGTTATTTTTCGCTGTATAAAAAATGAGGTACCCCAGTTATGAATTTGGAAATGAGTAGATGTTCCATGGTCACAAATGCAAAAAAAACTACTTACTTGTCGAATAATGTGTGGCCTAGGAATAAGTAGTTATACTCCGTGAGATATGACCTTAGTTAAATAATGGGTTAGTAATACGATTCGTAATAAGTCGTTTTTTGGATGGGGATGAGATTGGCCTTACTATTTGGTAACTGATTCTATTGGAACACCCAGATCTGGAAATGTCATTATTATAATTTTTATATACCAATTTTTGCATGACTATTTTGCTAGCTATTTTTTGTTGTTATTATTTTATTCGAAATTGAAAGATATAATTTGGAGCTTGTTTTATTATCTGAAGTTGTTTACTTAATTATATCCCCTGGCTTTAAAAGCTGCTTTGAACTGAATTTATATGATTGCAAGTGAATAAAACATAATTAAAATTACAGAAAAAAATGAAAAGATATTGGCATGACTTTCTCTTGCAACATCAAACGATATACGTAATTATAATGCTAATACTTTTCTTTTAAAAAAATATACAAACTACATATACGATTTATTGGAAAGCAAAATTAAAAGAAAAAACACACTTAATAAAATGTACCTTTTACCGATTTTTTTTTTTCCCAAAATTTCATAACTCAAAATCACCGAACATTTTCTGAAAAAATATGGAAAGAAAAAACAATCACAATTAATATACGAAAATAAATTTATAAAAAAATAAATCTAAAAAATGTATACGACTTTCTTTAATGAAAATAAAACCGAAAAAATATGAATAATTTTTTTTTAATGTATATTAAGCATAAATCCAATTAAATTTAAGAAAAAAATAACAATTTGAATTTTTTTAAATGTACAGTGCGCCTTAATAAAAAAAAACCACACACACACAGAGAAAAAAATGTATACGATAAATTCATTTGAAATTGAATTGAAAAAATAAAATTTCGGTTTGAAAGCGAAACTAAAAAGATAGCAACATGAAATAAAATGACAACTGGAACCAATTTTTATGGATGTAACAACAGCAAAACAACCACTTAAATAAAATATTTTAAGATTTTAGGAGAGAATGTGATCGATGATGATGATGATTTTGCAAAACTTTAAGGTATACATTTACAAAAAAAAAATAAATAAATAAATAAAAAAAATAAATATTTTATTTCTGTTTAGGTTTATTAGCGAAATAAAATTTTTCATGGATTTTGGAATGAAAAACAAAAAATGAAAACCAATGTATACGCAATTTATTATTTTTAAAATAATTTTGTAAATAACTAAGAATGACACCGAAAAATATGCAATATATTTTAGTTTTATAATTTAGCAAAAACGAAAGAGATAGGTATATAAAGCTTTTTCCGTTTTTTTCCTGATTTTAGCTTTAGGAACAACAACAAAAAAATCAATGTGTAAAAATTAATAATTAAAATCACATATTCTCATTAACAACAACAACTTAAAGCCTAACGATCAACAAAATTTATGCAAAAATTGGTATAAACAGCAATGTTTTATTGGATTTATTGTCATCGGAAAATAAAAT